CGCGCTGACTTCCCAGCCCCGCTGCTCTCTCTAAGTGACTCTGATTTATTGAGGGCTGCTTTTGAGGACGCGGGGCCTGAAGCTGACCGAGGGAGGTCCTCGCTGCTTCCCGCCACCCAAGCGGTGCCTCATGGAGTCTACGTTCAGCAGCCCCGCTGAGGCAGCGCTGCAGCGACAGGCGGGCGCCGCGGGGCTGCTCACTCCTCCGGAGGACCTGGACCGCGTCTACGAGCTGGAGCGAGTCGCTGGATTTGTCCGCGACCTGCGGTGTCGGCGGGTGAGGGCAGGTTAGGGAGGGGTGGCTCACCTCGGGATGGGTTGCCCAGAAGATCGGGATCTTGGGGTAATTTTGTGAGGATGGGGGTGGGGTGGGGGGTGGACGGTGGGGAGTTGCTCCTCTCGGAGGAGGAGCTTTGAAGGTTAGATAGGGACTTCTGGAAGGTTTTCCTTGAAGAGGGTGGAAGAGAGAGGCTGTTCCTGACTATGGCTTATACTTACAGGTGGCCTTGCAGTTCCCTGACCAGCTATTGGGAGATGCTGGGGCCGTGGCTGCACGACTGGAGGGGACCACAGGGTCGAAGATGTTCATTCTGGGCGACACGGCCTATGGAAGGTATGAATTTGAGCTTGAGGGTTGGGGGCGGGGGTAGGGGGTGGGGAGTAGGTTTAGTGATCCAAGGTTCTTGATGTTTTCCTTCTATGACAGTGTCTGCCCCCAGTGGCTGTGTTTTTCCTTGATGATGCCTCCTCTTCTGATACTTGCTCCTCTGAATGACAGTGTCTTCTTTTATAACATTGTTTACTTCACTGACCACATTTCAGGCTTCACATTTCCCATGAAGGACAGCAACTGTTTTCCTGATGAGAACTCTTCTTACTAATGGTATCTCCCCTGCAGCTGCTGTGTGGATGTACTGGGTGCTGAGCAAGCTGGAGCTCAGGCCCTTGTACATTTTGGCCCTGCCTGCTTAAGCCCTCCAGCCCGCCCGCTGCCGGTGGCCTTTGTCCTTGGTCAACGTTCTGTGCACTTGGAGCTCTGCGTCAAGGCCTTTGAGGCCCAGAACCCAGACCCCAAAGTGCCTGTGGTGCTGCTAAGTGAGCCGGGCTGTGCCCACGCCTTGGGTGAGGGTTTTTGCCTGGGCATGCAAGAAGGGTAGGCTAACTACTTTGTGCCTTGATAGTCCCATTTCAGTACACTCCCATAGAGCTCTTGATATGGGCTTGATCCCAGTCTTTGCTTTTGGGTCACATTCAGTCTCCTGGGGTGAAGGGGTTCCTGCTTTGGTAGACCCCAACTCTGACATCACTTCCTTCTTCCAGAGGCCTTGGCCACTCTCCTGCGCCCACGGTACCTGGACCTGCTTGTCTCCAGCCCAGCTCTTCCATTGCCAGTGGGCTCCTGTAGGCCAGCGCCTGAGCCCCTGGAGCGTTTTGGGCGCCGCTTCCCCCTGGCTCCAGGGAGGTGTCTGGAAGAATATGGTGCCTTCTATGTGGGGGGCTCTGAAGCCAGTGCTGACCTTGACCTTGACCCAGACCTGAGCCGGCTGCTCTTGGGCTGGGCACCTGGGCAGCCCTTCTTCACCTGCTGCCCGGATACAGGGCGGACTCAGGATGAAGGTGTCCGGGCTAGGCGGCTGAGGGCACGTAGACACTATCTGGTAGAGAGGGCCAGAGATGCCCATGTGGTAGGGCTGTTGGCAGGGACACTGGGTGTGGCCCGACACCGTGAGGCACTGGCACACTTGCGGAACCTAGCTCAGGCTGCAGGCAAGCGTAGCTATGTGTTGGCCCTGGGGCGGCCCACACCTCCCAAGCTCGCCAACTTCCCTGAGGTGGATGTCTTTGTGCTGTTGGCCTGCCCTCTTGGTGCTCTAGCTCCACAGCCTTCTGGTGGCTTTTTCCGGCCTGTATTGGCACCATGTGAGCTGGAAGCTGCCTGCAACCCCGCCTGGCCACCTTCAGGCCTGGCTCCCCATCTCACACATTATGCGGATTTATTGCCTGGTGAGTGCTGGGGTACTGCCTGAGCTGGAAACTCAGGGGCATGGAATTGGGCCAGTATGGATCCTCTTTCTCCCTCCTAGGCTCTCCCTTCCACGTGCCCCTCCCACCACCTGACTCAGAACTGTGGGACACCCCAGATGTGTCACTTATTACTGGGGAACTCCGACCCCCACCTGCGTGGAAGCCATCAGATGATCCTGGGTGTTCGGCCCTGACCTTGCGGCCCCAGCTAGAGCTGGCTGAGAGCAGCCCTGCAGGTAAGTGTGCCAAGTCTCTGCTCCCAGCTGAACTCTTTCCCCAGATTCAGCCCACTTGGCCTCAGTCCCCTCTCTCTGCAGCCTTGTTCCTTAGTTCCCGGAGCTGGCAGGGGCTGGAGCCCCGTCTGGGTCAGACACCGGTGACAGGAGCTGTGAGTGGAAGACGAGGGATTGCCATCGCCTACGAGGATGAGGGAAGCAGCTGATACCGTGTGGGGCCAGAGACACAGATGGACTTAAGAATTGCTGCAAAGACCTTTAATGCTCCCTGCATCACCTTCACTCCTCTGCTAGGATCCTTGAAGGAGCCTGGATGCAGAGAAGAGCAGACAGCCCCTCACTGAGGAAGGGAATCCTGCTCTGTCCCTGTCCTGGCCCTGGCACAAGGCTTAGCGTATAGTGGCTTAATAAATACCTATTGGACTGATGGGACTTATTTGGGGCTTTCCTAAAGTCTTGTGGGCCCATCTGTCCTCCTCTGGCCAGTCCCAGTTTCTGATGTTTAGTTGAGGGTTTACCCTTGTCAAAGGTTCTAGATGTAGACCAGGGTTTCCTAACTTTGGTACTATTGACGTTTTGGGCCAGATAAATCTTTGCTGTGAGGGGCTGTTCTGTGCACTGTAGTATGTTTAGCATTGTCTCTGGCTTCTGCCCACTAGATGCCCCCAACATACCCCTCCCCAGCTGTGATAACCAAAAATGCCTCCAGACATTGACAAATGTCTCCTGTGGGGGCAAAGCTGCCCCTAGTTGAGAACCACTGGTCTAGACCTGTGTTGTCCAATAAAGTAACCACTAGACATATATGGCTATTAAACACGAATTTAAATTAGTTAAAATTAAAAACTCAGTTTCTCAGTGTGCCTGGCTGGCTCAGCTAGAAAAGTGTGCAACTCTTGATCTCAGGGTCATGAGTTCAAACCTCATGATGGGTGTACAGATTACTAAAAAAGTAAACTTTAAAAATAAAAACTCAGTTTCTCAGTCACACTACTCACATTTCAGTGGTCGTTTAGCCACATGAGAGGATAGTGCAGCTATGGGACATTTCCATCATTGCAGGAAGTTCTGTTGGACAGTGCTGATCTATACTGATTCTAATTTTGTTTCTCAGGGAGATCACAGACACTTGAATAAACTACTTTTTCTCTTTCTTTTTCTTTATATTCATCAAACACTATAGGTCCTGAGTGGAGATGTGAATTGTATTTAACTAACTTCCTGTCCTCGCAGTGTAGTTAGGAAGGGAGGCAGTTTTAAATAAGCAATGATAAGACAGTGAAACTACTTTCTGTGAGGAGGGAAGCCCCTGGGGGCACTTTTTCATTACCAGGTTTGCAGAGAATCTTGGCCTACTGGCACTGTCCAAAGTGTTAAAGAAGTAGGTAAACAGGGAGATGTGGTCCCTGAGCTCGGGGGTGCCCAGTCTACTGGTAGAGGCAGATCTGTAAACTGACTGGCAGCGGACAAAATGGGCAGCAATCGTGTATTTTACAAATATATATGGAGCACCCACTGTGTGCCAGGCACTGGAAATACAGTAAGCTCAACAGAAACCCTTTCATGGTGCTTACATTCTCACACGGGGGCTGGGTGAAGAGATGGACAAAATAAGATATTTAGTATGCCAAATGGTGATAAGTAAGTACTATGGAGGACTATAAAGCTGGAAAGGAGTGTAAAGGACAGTGGATTGCAATATTAAGATGATGAGGAAAGGCCTTTTGAAGAAGGTGAGCAAAGACGAAGTTATGGAGTGAGCCACATGGATAAGTAGAAGCAGAGGGAACAAATGCAAGGGTGTTGTAGTGGGGGTATGACTGATAAGTTCAAGGAATAGCAAGGAGGCCAGTGCAGTTAGCAGGGAAGTATTAGATGAGATCAGGTAAGGGGCATGGGAAGCTGCATCAGGAGAGGCCTAGTATAGTAGTAGGCCATTATTAGGACTGTGGCATTTATTGAGTGAAATGGCATTTTATTTTATTTTCATTAAAGATTTTATTTGAGAGAGCACAAGCAGGGGGAGTAGCAGAGGGAAAGGGAGAAGCAGGCTCCCCACTGAGCAGGGAGCCTGATGCAGGGCTCTATCCCAGGACCCCAGGATCATGACCTGAGCCAAGGCAGATGCTTAACTGACTGAGCCACCCAGGCGCCCTTGAAATGGTATTTTAAACCAAAGAGTGACATGATGGTAAGCTTCATAAGTATCACCAGGACAGCAGGGGAGCCCAGAGCAGGCTCATCACCCTGCCTCTGGGTTAGGGAAGTCTTCCTGGAAGAGTGCTTTCTGGGGACCAGTAGGTGTTAGCTGGGCAAGGCGATGAACACGAAGAAGCGTGCTTCAGGCAGAAGGAACAGCATGAGCAAAGTTAGGAAGAGAGCCCAAGACACCCCCGCTGAACTGGAGAGGACAGCAAGGGAAAAGGCCTCATGGACTCAGCACCTGAGGCCTGGAGGCTAAGCTAGGGAGGCCCGCGAGGAGACCCCGGTGTAAAGCTCACTTGGTGAGCCCAAGTGGTGCTGGCTGACAGGGTTCAGGAGGAGCGGTTTGGAGAGACGTGGGAGTAACCGGCCGGAGGTTGAGGTACTAAGGCCGCCGGAACCTCTTCCGAAGCGAGGCACTACAACAACCACAATCCTCAGTGCTTGCAGTTCCGGCGTCGCCAAAGTTCTGGACCCTCCGCAGCGCCGCGCAGGGCCGGGCGTGGGGTCACGTGGTGCCGGCGCGTCACGTGGGTGAGTCAGGTGACGCTGCGGGGCGGGCGGACAGACTGCGGGGCGGACGGTGGACGCAGGGACGCGGGTATAGCTGTGGCCCCACGGACCCGAGCCCCGCCGTCGTTGCCGCCATGACGGGGCTAGCACTGCTCTACTCCGGGGTCTTCGTGGCCTTTTGGGGCTGCATGCTTGTCGTGGGTGAGGCCGGGCCCTGGCGGGCGGGGCCAGCATCCGGGCCCCGCTGGCGGGGCTGGAGCCCAGCGGGAGAAGTGGGGTCCCAGGGATGCTAGGCCCCAGCGTGGGTTCTGTGCCCGAGGCTCCAGGACTTGCTTCACGCCTGTCGGGGCTTCTGATCCTGACAGAGGAGACCCGGATCTCCAGCCCCTTTGAGGAGGGGCGCGGACGGGGCGAGGTGGGGGCCGCGAGAGCAGCCCCGGTACCTCTCTGTCACTACCGGCCCCTCCCCCCGTCTCACTGCTGCGATCCCTCGCTTGCTCCAGAGGGGCCTGCTTGGGTCACGAGCCGGCTGTTCCAGTTCCTCTTTTCCCGGTCGTTTTGCCCTCCCCCCCCCCCACAGCTTGTTGGGTAAACAGCGGCTCAGATTGGGCTGGTGGGATCCGGTGCCCTCTCCCTTTCTCCAGGGTATTTAGGCCTACTAGTAACTGGCCGTGGAGGGTCTCGGTCTTGGAGGTGGTGTCACTGGGGGAAGATAGGTTACTGAGGGAGTGGCAGAAAATGGAGGCCTGAACTGAGGAATAGATAGCTGTGCTTTCACACGGAGGCCAGCCTGACGAGTCTCCCTTGACTTACCTGTAGGCAGACCTTTGGGGACGTGGCAGCTGGGCAGCAGTTTCTTGTCTAAGTTGGGAAGTTTCTCTCTAGAGAGCCGCCTCTAACCCTTTTTTTCCCCACTCCTGCAGGAATCTGCTACACCATTTTTGACTTGGGTTTCCGCTTTGATGTGGCATGGTAAGGGCCTGCAGAGAGAGGACTCCTCTAGGGGCTTCTCTGCAGCTTTTCTTCACTGATCTAAGCCCCTACTGCACCCCCATCCCCAGGTGCCTGGGATATGGACCTTTGGGACATATGATGTATTTTATCTCAGTATCCAGGACTGGTGGGCTTGGAGGGTTGGGGGATGGATTTTGTGCTCACTTCTCCACCAAGGCTGAAATTGCTTTTCTCCCTGTTTCCACACCAGGTTCCTGACCGAGACTTCCCCCTTCATGTGGTCAAACTTGGGCATTGGTCTAGCTATTTCCCTGTCTGTGGTTGGGGCAGCATGGTGAGTATTGGGGTGGTGGGACTGGGGGGAGGGGTGAGTCATAGCAGGTGGTGTCACTGGGTCCTTAGTCATCCTGGGGGCAGTGACAAACTTGGGCTCTGCTCATTGGTTTTTTATCCTTCCACCAGGGGCATCTATATTACTGGCTCTTCTATCATTGGGGGAGGGGTGAAGGCCCCCAGGATCAAGACCAAGAATCTGGTCAGGTAAATGTAGGGCCTTTGGAGGGTTGTCAGAACCACCTGCATTGGGAGCTCGCTGTTTGTTTGACCTGACATGCTGCTTCTGACCAGCCTCCTGGTGGGGTGGGAGTTGTCAGTGGGGGAAATGTTGGTTGGGAACTCTCTGGGGGAAGAAGGTTGGTTTCTTTCTCATCCTTTTCTCCTCTCTACCCCCGTGCTCACCACTACCAGCATCATCTTCTGTGAGGCTGTGGCCATCTATGGCATCATCATGGCAATTGTAATTAGTAACATGGCTGAGGTATGGAGACCCAGGGTGGGGTGGGCATCTATGCCAGTGTGTTCTATACAGTGTTTAGTGATACTGGGGGAGGGGGAGTGGCATTAAGGGGTGGTTTCTGATTACTTCTCTGCCTCCTGCAGCCTTTCAGTGCCACTGACCCCCAGGCCATTGGGCATCGAAACTACCATGCAGGTAGGTGGATGTGTGAAGGAAGAAAGCTGGGGCTTCATGTCTGCTTCCCCACTTTCAGGCCCCAGCTGAGATTCATTATTTCAATAGTCACTCCCTTTGTTTGGCCTGCTTTGCAGAGTTGGGAGTGGTGATAAGCCCCATTAGTCCATTTGGGTCCTTGTCCTCCTCTCCCCTTGTGCCTGGCTTGGTGTCAGTACTCTCTTTCCATCCCCTCAGGCTACTCCATGTTTGGAGCTGGCCTCACAGTGGGCCTGTCTAACCTCTTCTGTGGAGTCTGCGTGGGCATCGTGGGCAGTGGAGCTGCCCTGGCTGATGCACAGAACCCCAGCCTCTTTGTAAAGATTCTCATCGTGGAGATCTTTGGCAGTGCCATTGGCCTCTTCGGCGTCATTGTTGCAATCCTTCAGGTGATGAATCCCCTGGGAGCCTGTGTCCTTGTGTCCATCCCATCCTCACTCTCTTTCCAGAGGAGCCACGGTGTCCCTTTCTCTATCTGTAACCATAGAACCCCTGAGCAGCTCCCACCACTTTATTCCCATTTTTTCGTTTTCCTCTTTTGAAGCTTTCTAGCGTGGTATCATTGACTAGTGTAATGTGTATTTCCCTGATCCTTTGTGTCTATAGGTCTTTCATTGAGGCTTTCTGTTGTATTATTTTTTGTCTTTGTTTGTAGTCTAGCCTGGATTGGGATCTTGTCTGTGTGTCAGTCTGTCTTGGTGTGTTTGACTATTTAGCTGGGTTGACCCTTGGTAACTGGTCCTGTCCATATGGCACTTCTCCATCTCTCTGTCCCACAGCCTAACTCTCTGGTTGTCTGACTGTCCCTGTTCATCTGTGTTTGTCACAGCATGTCCATCTTGGTCCAGTCATCCATCTGTTGTGGTCTATCCATCCCACCATGGGTTTGCTAGAACTGACCTTATGTCATTTGTCACTGTCTTATCTATTCCTCTGTCACTGCCTGATTTCTCCTTGTTCTTCTTTTGCAGACCTCCAGAGTGAAGATGGGTGACTAGATGATCTGTTTGGGTGGGGCCATGTCCCACTCTTATTTATTTGTGGTTTTCCCAGGACAGCTGGAGCTGTCACCCTTGGCCTTTCAGGGGGCTTGGTGTTCAGGGCCATCCCTGCACTTGCTTCTTGCTGCCCATCAACTTGGAGGCACTGCCTGGCTGGAGCCTCAGTGTGGGGAGTGGGTCGCTGACGACCATGTGCAGCTCTGCACCTGTGTCCCACCCCTACCCCCCAAACCCATCTTCCCAGTGTTTGTGAAATAAACGTGGTTTTTGTCTGGGTCAGTGCTGCTTCTGTTGCCCTCCTTCGCCACATTCTTTCATGGAGGGAGTGTAACAGGGGCTGTAGGCCTCAACCTAATGCCAGCTTCTTGGCACCTTTCTGTCTCATACGCACTGTCTCTGCTCTGGACAGAGCTAGTTCCTGGGTGGAGAGGAAGGGTGCTGGGCTGAGGACTCTATACCTGAATATCTTTATTGAAAGGAGCAAGGGACTCGGGATATGAACCCAGGTGTTTGTGCAGGGGAGGGGGCTGTCCTCCTAGTCCCATGCCTTCAAGGTTCTGTCTGCTAAGCCCAGATGGGCCACATCTACCATGTGGCTCTATCCTCAGGAATCCGTCACCCTCTATCCCTGTGGGGCTTGGAGCCCGTTGATTTGCCTCTGCCTATCCCAGCGCCATCCCCTGAGCCCTTGTTCCCAGGGCCCTGTCCAGCTCCTCCCACTTCTGTGCAGTCTTTTACCCACCTCCCGTTACCCTAGAAGCCCCTGCCACACACTTCTCCCCACGCCTTTAAGGGTCCTGCCCAACTGGCAGCTCCCTCCGCTGGCCGCTGGCAGGCCTTTAATCCTATTCCCTTCTCAGTGAGTTGACGAATCCCTACCCTCCCTGCTAGAGTCGCCTAACTTCCAGGCCCCCTTCTTTGGCGGAGTTCGTGCTCCAGCCCACACCCACACCCTCCCCAGTCTGGACCCCGAATCCAACCTCTGGGATGAGCCTTACCGATTTCTTCCGCCCCTCTCTGGTACCGTGCCACCTCTGTCCCCTCGCTCCGCCGTCCCCTCGCTCCGCCGCGCTTGGCCGCCGGCAGGGGCGGGCAGCGGAGGCGCGCGGCGGGTGCGGGCGCGCTGGAGGCGGGTGCGCGCGCGCGGGCGCGCCGGCCAGGCCTGCCCCTCCGAGGCGCCGTAGCGCGGGAGGGAGGCGGCGGCGCTGTGGTCCATCGGTCCGCGGGTCCGTGGGTCTGCCCGGCCGCCCGGCCCCGCCCTGCCCCCCGGGGCGGCTCGGCTCCATGGCCCGCGGCGGCGGCGGCGGGAGGCGGCCCGGGGGCCGCGGGGGCCGCTGACCGGGCGGCGGGAGGCGGCGGGGCCGGGCCATGGGGGACGGAACCGTCCGCAGCCACGGGAGCCGGGAACCCAGCCCGAGCCGGAGCGGTGCCCCCTGCTGAGCCCCGAGCGCCGGGTGAGAGGGGTGCGCGCGCGGCCCCCAGCCCAGGGCCCCGACATTCCAGACCCGGCCCCGCGATCCCCGCCCAGGAGCCGGTGAGAGGCGCCGGCGGCCAGACCCCGGCCTGGCGTTTCCCCACCCCCCCTCCCCCCTGG